GTTACATCAACCGATATAATGATCCTAGAAAGACACCCCCCTCTTTAGTCACACCGAATCCGATCTAGCATCATACATACAGATTTATTTCCATGTGCGTGTGAAATTAGAGTTCTAATCATTTATGATTTTTGATTTGCAAATGAGTTATGTACACAATCGAAGAAGCTGATGAAAATCTACGGGTTAGTAATTATTTAGTTGTTTATTATGTATCCTAATTAACTGTATTCTTTCACCTAACTAAATCCCTTCTGTGCATGACGAGAACATGTAAAAATGATGTCCAACATGCGGCTCTCCTGTCTTAGATAGTAGTATAAATATGGATGTAGATCGATGTCATAATGGGAGCATAGGATTGAGGAACAACATTCTAGTAACTTCTTCCATTGACCAATAATCTATAAATCCAAGTTTGATACAAGTACTTGACTCTTCAGGAATTACCAGAATAGCTCCAGGAAAAGGGTGTGCTCAGTTTTTCAGGAATTTTCTGCTGCATGGCAACACAGTGAAACTACCCTTGGGCGATTAACCAAACCGTGATATTGGTCATTTCATTATCAATAATCTAAAAGCAGAATCAGCAAATTAGACCGCGACATTATTGTCTTAAGGTTTCATCCAAAAGTATTGCAAATTGGTGAAAATAGAGTCTAATTCCCCATTACACCTAAGGCAATTTGAAACTCGGAGATTTCTCAATGCAAAGTGACATAGACAGGTATTAGATTCTAAGACCCAACTCCACAAGCGTCAACTTGTCCAGACTGAAGATATCTTAGGAAAGAAAACAAATCTGTCGAGAAAAAAAAATAAAAATTCCGACATTTGGAGATTGACCTCATATTGATATCAAGAGGAAACTAGAAACTATCATTTAGAGCAAATTATATCCCCACAAGGGGAAAATCTAAGAAATGAAAGAAGTGAGGGACATCTCATTTGGACATCGACTGTTCACTTACATGATCAAATAGAGTTGCTTCAGCGAAATAATTGCAATGTCCACATTGCTCCTATCGGTTCAACAATTTGATTATTCAGAACATATGGGGATTAATGCAAGAGAAAAAACAGTGAGTTGTTAGTATAGTTACCTGGTTTGATAGTATTCAGAATTTCATTGGCTGAAAGCAAGTTGCCATCATGTTTAGAGAATTTTTATTCCCCAAACTAGAATGGGAAAGGATTTATGCACCTTATCATTCAAAAACCAAACTAACAACGAAAATGAAACAGATTGGTAGACCATGGCAACGGACGAATACATAAGCTTGCCCAAAGAAATGAGTAGTACTAATTTTCAAGAACGAGACATTGTTTCATAGTGGCCTGAGTGTTAGATCTAATATTTGAGATCTAAATCTTAAAGCCATGATTAATTCAAAGAGATTAATAAGAATCAAAAGGTGCGGAAGCATTTTGAGATCTAAATCTTAAAGCCATGATTAATTCAAAGAGATTAATAAGAATCAAAAGGTGCGGAAGCATATACCTGAATCCAAAAGCCATGATTAATTCAAAGAGATTAATAAGAATCAAAAGGTGCGGAAGCATATACCTGAATCCATTGAGGAAAATCTGATTAGGGTTTTGATGATTTTCTAACCTTAGGGCTTCTCCCTTAATGTATCTCTTTAGATGGGGATAAGAGAATGAGAATGACTAACCCTAGATTAGGGATCATAACCTCATATATATAGGTGTTGTACATTTATAATTTGACCCCTCATCAAATTACAATTATAACCTGATATCTACACATATAACCCCATGATTTATTTAAATACTCATTAACTCAAATTAATTGATCATGGGTTATCCTGAAGGATAGCAATACACACAGATTAATCATATGTGCCCACAAATAGATTTAATTAAATTTAAATCTAACAATCTCCCACTTGGGCACCATATGACTTCTTAAGGTGTGTATAACCTTATGAGCTCAAAATTGCTATCACTGAAAAAGGTATTTCCGAACAATCTCGTCCATTGACTATATCAATATAGGATCAAAACGGTCTTCGTCACATTTATCGTGACTCGACCCATCAATAGTCACATATATCAATACAATCAAACGACATAGATCAATCATGGATGTGCAGCATGAAAATTACATACAATATGATCAGTACATGTATATTTTTAACTGGTCCTACTTTAGTGAGGTCAAAACCAAACATAATGTAACAGAGTGTCTTAACTGAATACTTTATTCTGATCAGACAATACAACCAAACACAAAGCACCAAAAAATTACAAACTCCCACTAAATCATGATATCCTCGAATAACATCAGACCCATATGAGCAGTGTGCTCATGAAAGACCTTGGGTGTCAATCCCTTAGTAAGAGGATCAGCTATCATGGAGTTTGTCTCAATGTGCTCTATGGATATATGTCCACTCTGTACCCTTTCTTTCACAACCAGGAACTTAATGTCAATATGTTTTGACTTAGTTGAGCTCCTATTGTTATTGGAATACATTACTGTAGATTTATTGTCACAATATAACCTTAGTGGTCTTTCAATATTTTTCAAAATATGCAGTCCAGTGACAAAATTTCACAACCATATTCTATGATTTGATGCCTCATAGCAAGCTACAAACTCTGCTGTCATTGGAAGAAGCTACGAGTGTCTGTTTAACACTTTTCCATGATATAGCTCATCCTGCTAACATATAAATATAGCCTGATGTAGACTTTCTGTTATCTTGACATCTAGCAAAATCAGAATCAGAGTACCCAATGACCTCTAGCTGTTCTGATTTTCTATATGTGAGCATATAATCTTTTGTTTTCTGAAGATACATCATAACCCTTTTGACTGCTATCCAATGATCCATACCAGTGTTTCTTAAGTATCTGTCTAACATCCCAATAATATACGCAATATTCGGACGCGTACATACCTGAGCATACATTAGACTTCCTACAGCCGAAGCATAAGGAATCTTTTGCATTTCCTGAATTTCAAGGTTGCCTTTAGGGCACTGATTGAGACTAAACTTGTCTCCTTTAGCCACAGGGGTGTCTCCTGGTCTGCAGTCTTGCATGCCAAATATTTTAAGTACTTTATCGATATAGCACTTTTGTGATAATCTAAGAATACCCCGAGAGCGATCTCGATGTATTTGGATTCCTAATATAAAAAAGGCGTCACCAAGATCTTTCATCTCAAAATTCTTTGATAGAAATCTCTTGGTTTCGTGTAACATGTCTATATCATTAGTGGCAAGCAATATGCCATCGACATACAGAACCAGAAAAATATACTTACTCCCACTGAACTTGTGATATACACAGTCATCAACAATGTTCATCTCAAAACCGAAAGAGATAATTATTTGTTAAAACTTGTAATACCATTGACGATGAGCTTGCTTGAGTCCATAGATGGATTTCATTAATTTGCAAACCATATTCTTTGGGTCTCCTGACACAAAGTTTTCTGGTTGCACCATATAAATCATCTCATCAATGTCACCATTAAGAAATGTAATCTTAACATCCATCTGATGTAACTCAAGATCATAATGAGCAACAAGTGCCATGATTGTTCTGAAAGAGTCTTTCGATGAAACCGGAGAGAAAATCTCTGTATAATCAATGTCTTCCTTTTGAGTAAAGCCTCTAACTACAAGACGTGCCTTATACCTCTCCACATCACCGTTTGCATCCCGCTTGGTTTTAAAAATCCATTTACAACCAATTGGTTTTGCACCTTCTGGCAATAGGACACGCTTGGTTTTAAAAATCCATTTACAACCAATTGGTTTTGCACCTTCTGGCAATAGGACAAGTTCCCAAACCTTATTGTCTTGCATAGACTTGTACTCTTCATTCATAGCATCAATCCACTGTTGAGAGTTAGAACTTTTCATGACCTGAAAGAAGTTGATTGGATCATCTTCCAACATTCCATTATTTTCCTCATGTCCTTGGAGAAATACAATATAATCATCCGAAATAGCATTTCACCTTTCTCTCGTGGATCTCCTTAATGGCACTGGTTCTTGAGGTTGTTGAGTTTGTTCTTCTTGAATATGGAGTTATTCAACATTGTCATCTTGAGGTTCCGGATTTACTTCTTGAGCAACAACAGGTATAGGAACCTGAATATTGTCAAAAGTAACTGTATGGATTGGGTCTGAAGCCAATTCCTCCTCAAAAACAACGTCTCTAACCTTATTTCTCCCCATAAACTCAACATCCTCAAAAAATATTATTGTTCCCGTCTCAAAAATATTCCTGAGTGTGGGATCATAAAACTTATAGCCCCTAGAGCGTTCCGAGTACCCAATAAAATAGCTGCTAACTGCTTTGGAGTCCAATTTCTTTTCATTTGACCTATAAGGCCTTACCTCAGCTGGACATCCCCAAATATATAAGTGCTTTAAACTGGGCTTTCGATCAGTCCAAAGCTCATAAGGTGTTTTAGCAACTGCTTTACTTAGCGCTCTGTTCAGAATGTAAGCTGTTGTTTTTAGTGCTTCTCCCCAGAGTGACTCTGGTAAAGAAGAATGAGCAATCATACTTCTTACCATATCCTTAAGAATCATGTTTCGTCTTTCAGCTACATCATTCATACTAGGTGAACCCGACATGGTGTACTGTGGGACGATACTGTATTCCTCTAGGTATCTAGCAAATGGTCCTGGACGTTGTTCACCTGAACCATCATATCTGTCGTAGTACTCACCACCACGATCAGATCGAACGGTTTTAATTTTTTTGTTGAGTTGATTCTCAACTTCAGCTTTATAGGTTTTGAACATGTCCAGAGACTCAGGTTTTTTATGAATAAGATATAGGTACTCATAACGTGAGTAATCGTCTATGAATGATATAAAATATTGTTGACCATTCCAGGATGTCGTAGGGAATGGCCCACAAATATCCGTATGTATCAATTCTAAGACATCCGAAGATCTGTTGGCACCTAATCTCTTAACTTTGGTCTGTTTTTCGTTGATACATTCAACACATACGTCGAAGTCCGAAAAATCAAGGGAATCCAAAATGTCATTAGACACAAGACGCTCAACTCTACCTTTTAAGATATGACCCAAGCACTTATGTCATAATGTCGCCGAATTTTCCTTATTTAATTTACGCTTAGTACCACGTGATTCCACGTGCAAGGATTCATTATAAGAAGCAATTGTATCGAGCAAATATAGGTTGTCATAAGTACTCAAGTAACCAGTTCCCATAATATTTGAATTAAAAGATAAACTGAATTGATTGTTTCCAAATGAACAAGAATAACTTGATTTGTCCAATACAGAAACTGAAATCAAATTCCGTCTAAAAGACGACACTACAAAAGTATCTTTTAAGTCCAAATAAGAATCAGTTCCTAATAGCAACCTAAAATACCCAATTGCTTCCACATCTACCGATTGATCGTCGCCCACAAAGATGTGTCTTTCAACATCACTTGGCTTTCGGTAGCTCAGACAACCCTGCATAGAAATACTTATGTGAGTAGTAGCACCAGAGTCTAACCACCAAGTGTTTCTAAATACTGAATCTAAATTAACCTCAGAACAGACCAAAGTAAGGAACGTACTCTTATTAGCACGCCAGACGTGATATTTGGTACAATCCTTCCTTACGTGTCCAGACTTGTTACAGAAGAAACAACCCTGATTATCCTTATGTTGTTTCTTCTGAACTGGACCCTTAGCAGTTTCATTATCATTCTTTCTTTTCTTGCCCTTATCCTTAGAGGTATAGGCCAAATAAGCACTTTCAGTCTTATCTTGCTTCAACATGTCTTCGTCTTACACACAGTGTGAAATGAGCTCATTTAGAGTCCATTTCTCCTTTTAACAGTTATAACTGACCTTAAACTGATTGAATTGTGCAGGAAGAGACAACAGGACTAGATGCACCAATAACTCATCACAAAGATCGAGTTTAAGTGCCTTAAGCTTTGAAGCAGTATAAGACATTTTCATAATGTACTCCCTGATATTTTCTTTGCCCTTATACTTCATTAAAATCAAGCGAACTAAAAGCGTGTTTGTTTCTACCTTATCGTTTTTTGCAAAACGTTTCTCAATTTCGGCAAGGAAATCTTTAGCCTTAGTAATCCCTTCGGATTCTATGCCCCTGAAGGCTTCCGGAATGCTGCGCTTAATGATCATAAGATTCATACGATTTAAACGGTCCCACTTCTCATACTCCTTCTTTGCATCAGGAGTGCTATCCGCATTGAGAGGTTGAGGTTGTTCAGTTCTTAATACAAGGTCTAGATCCATGTAACCAAGAACAATTAATATGTTTTCTTTTCAAACCTTGAAATTTGTCTCATTGAGCAAGGGAATTGAGTTGATGTTAGCAGAAATTGTTGCAGCAGATGCATTAGCTGAAATAAACAAAAGATACTCACATCATTAATCATAATTAGTAATTAATAAAATTCAAATAATGACAAATCACATCTCAAGATATCTGGCACAACATTAATATCAAGTCTTTGAACAGTAATATTAACTTGTAATTGATATCTTGTTGCAATGATCAAACATTGATAATAACTCATGTCAAATAATGAAACTATCTTTGGATCGATTCATTATTCACATGTAAACCTTATAATTGTCACACGTTTATCATCGCAGATGTGTATGCAGTCTAAATAAATATTAACCTTCCTTTGGGCCGATTAAACATTTACACGAAAGCATACAAACATCTCACATTCTTCATGAACAATCTACACAAGAGATGTTACTTTGGTAACTTCTTGTTTCAATTAATCAATTGGAGTGAGAGATAACCTTAATACCTTAGTGTCATGATATTTGAGTTAAATAATTGATTAACTACCAAAATTAATTCAAATTAAACAACTTAATTTGAATTAGAAACTACCAAAATTAATTCAAATTAAACAACTTAATTTGAATTAGAAGAATTTTCCATAGCTTAATTAGGGCTCATAACTTAATTGAATAAATTAAGTATATTAATTTGAATTAGAAGAATTTTCCATAGCTTAATTAGGGCTCATAACTTAATTGAATAAATTAAGTATACCAAAGTGGACCCATAATTTAATTTGAAAAGCCGAGGCTTAACCATAGTGAACATGAAGTTCTCTTGACTTCGAACGCGATGTTCGTTTGTATTGAGTATAACTGTATAAGACTCGCCTAAGAACGAACGCGAGGTTCGTTTGAAAAATGAACGTGATGTTCAACTTGAGAACGAACGCAAGATTCATTTTGAAAATAAACGCGAAGTTCGACCTGAGAATGAACGCGAGGTTCGACTTGAGTTGAGCGCGAGGCTCACCTGAGAACGAACGCGATGTTCGACTTGAATTGAGTGCGAGGCTCACCTGAGAACGAACACGAAGTTCGACCTGAATTGAGTGTGAGGCTCACCTGAGAACGAACGCGAAGTTAATTTGAATTGAGCGAGAGGCTCACCTTAGAACGAACGTGAAGTTCGTTTGAATTGAGCGCGAGGCTCACCTTAGAACGAACGCGAAGTTCGTTTGAAGTGAGCGCGAGGCTCACCTAAGAACGAACGCGAAGTTCGTTTGAAGCTTTCAAGCTTCGCCAAAAAAAAATTAAGGTAACCACCTCCTTAATTCCCGCACGTTTTCACGCACGAACCCTTAGGGTTTCATTCTGAAACCGCCGTCGTCATTGCTCCTGCACCCAGATGTCGAAATCCTAGGGTTTCCTAACGCCGCCGTCGCCATCGGAGTCGAGAGCGAGGCCGCCAGCGACACTTCGCCGGCGAGGAGCATGGGACCGACGACCAAACAAAATAGATCCAAAAAATTCCTCGATTTTATTTCAAAATCAGATCCAGAATAAAAGATGACCTTTTTTTTATTCAAAATTAAAAGAAAAACCAAACAAAAAAGGAAATCTTTACTGTTCATCCGAAAAAACGTTATTGTTCATCCGAAAAATAATAAACATCACTGTTCACACGAAAAAATCAACAAACATTACTGTTCATCCGTGAACAGATCTGAATAAAACACAAATTAAGATCAAAGAACCCTAAATTTAATCTTAATCTCTTAGAACAAATCAACAGTGGCTCTGATACCACTTGTTAGATCTAATATTTGAGATCTAAATCTTAAAGCCATAATTAATTCAAAGAGATTAACAAGAATTAAAAGGTGCGGAAGCATATACCTGAATCCATTGAGAAAAATCAGATTAGGATTTTGATGATCTTCTAACCTTAGGGTTTCTCCCTTAATGTATCTCTTTAGATGGGGATAAGAGAATGAGAGTGGCTAACCCTAGATTAGGGACCATAACCCCATATATATAGGTGTTGTACATTTGTAATTTAGCCCCTTATCAAATTACAATTATGACCTGGTATCTGCACATATAACCTCATGATTTATTTAAATACTCATTAACTCAAATTAATTGATCACTTTAGTGGGTTATCCTGAAGGATAACAATACACACAGATTAATCATATGTGACCACAAGTAGATTTAATTAAATTTAAATCTAACACTGAGCCCAAAACATTGGTTAACAAATAGTCTCGAAACCTTAGTAATTCCATTCCCCGTTTAATCATGAAAGGCATAGAGAGAATGACGATGCAAAAAAAACTCAAACCTTGGCGCGACCCAAACAACGAAACAACGCAAAGAGTGTGAATGTTCTATGTGCAAGTCATAAAAATTTCTAGGTGCAAGTAAGTTAATATACAGCTAATTCACATAAATATTAACAAGAAGCAATTTAAACAATTTAACTTTTATATAAAAAAATGTAATCATACAATCCACATTCTATCAGAATTCAAACTTTCATACCAAAGCGGCGAATTCCTCGCCGGCGGCGAAGGCCCAACACAAACCTCCACCCTCTCTCTAAACTCCTCATCGTTCGGCTTCAACATCGCCGGCAACGTAAAAAACACCCCTTTCTCTTCACAAAACAGATGCCTCCTCTTTATCCTCTTCTCCAAACTATACGAAAAGTACTGCGGAAACTCCTTCACCTCCCTCAGCTCTCTCTTCATCTCATTCATGAGAAACCCCAATTTCACCTCCAAATTCCCCTTAATCCCATAGCAGAACAACTGCGGAAACCTCCTCACCATCGATCTCGCCTCTCTTAGGCTGAATCCGGAACTTTGCAGGAAGTCTATTCTTGGTATCAGCTTCTCGTCAACGGAGCAAGAGAGCAGATAACAGTGCCGTGAAGTCTCCGTTATCCCAAGCATCTGCAAGAAGTAGAGAGTCGGTCGGAGCCCGGTCGCCGTGGATCACGTGCGGAGGTCGCGGCCGCTGACGCGCCTCGGGAGGAGGAAGGTGATGACGGAGGTGGAGGGTTTGGGGCTCTCCGGTGAGGATCTCGGGGCACCATCCCAGCGATCCGGCGGAGGTCGAGGGAGGTGAGATCGAGGGAGCGGAGGAAATGGACGGTGGATTTGAGGTCGGAGAGAGGGGTGGACATGATCGGAGGGTGGGAGGAGACTAGGGTTAGGTGATCGAGGCCGACGGAGTCGAGGAAGAGGAGCTTCTCCAGGAAGAAGGTGATTTGGGGGGATTTGGGGGGCTTTTGCGGAAAAGAGACGAGAGACGGGGGAGCGGAGGGAGGAGAGGAGGGGACGGGGAGGGGTAGAATGGGAAGGGAGGAGGGGTATTTTGGGAAGGGGAGGGAGGAAGGAGGAGGAGAGATGCATTTTACATGATCGGTGGTGGTGGAGCGCGTGGGCGGTGGGGTGCTTGGGAGTGGGGGAGTTGGAGATAAGGCTTGGGAGACGGGCATGGGCGTCAGTGTTTGAGATAATTACACGGATGCCCCACTGAGATTTGCAATTAGGTTGTTGATATAGTTTGATTACATTCTACCACCCAATTGTTTTTTATAGTATATTTGCATAGGGTAAGTTACACTAAAGCCCAATTGTTTTTTAGTAAACCCCTGCTTACTTCCAAAATCACACTAAGTCCTCAGGAACTTTTGTAGAAAACCATCAATATCTTTTAACTTAATTATACTAAATCCTACCTTATGATATGTCTTTTTTATGTTGTTTTTCAGTTCTAATTTATGGAGTTATCTGTAAAATACAAAAAAAAATATTAGGAATTTTTTCTGCAATTCCAAAAAAAATAGTGGGAATTTAGTGTGATTTTAAAAGTTACTAAGGGTTTAATGCAAAATGTTAAAGGCTTGTGGGAGTTCAATATAATTTACCTTTTTGTTGAATAAGCTACCGAAACAGAAATTCATAATGATACTCCTATTGATAGAATTTGTGGACCCGAAAAGAGGTTTTGAATAAAAAAAACTCTTGGACAATGGATGGATTAACAAAATTTCTTTGATTCAAATAAGGGAGTACAACTTTCTCATAAATGACTACACCTCTCTTTCTTCTACAAGTTACTCTTACACTTACACACTCGCACACTAGCTAGCTTTCTTCACTCTCCTCCAATTCTTTCTTTTCTTCACTTTGCTCATATATATAGGTGTGGTAGATCTTTCAAAAAACACTTCATTCACGAAGGCTTGACTCCTTGAGATATCTCTAGAAGAAGGCTTGACTCCTTAAGATATTTCTAGAACCATGAAGAAATGTTGATGACATTTAACACTCTCCCCTCAGGAACAAATTCATTTCTCACAAGTCCAAGCTTCTTCTTAAACTTCAAAAATGTTTCTCTCTTCAGTGGCTTGGTGAAGATGTCAGTGATTTAGTCTTCAGACTTGCAATATATCATCTTCACAATCTTCTTTGTGACTTGATGTCGGATGAAGTGGAACCTTGTCTCTATGTGCTTACTTCTTCCATGTGCTAGTGGGTTCTTGGAAAGCGTAATAGTTGACTTGTTGTCTATGAGAATCTCTATTGGTGCTTCTTGTTCATGTTGCAACTCCTTCATTAGATTTCTAAGCCATATCGCTTGGCATGCACCTGCAGATGCAGCAATGTATTCTACTTCACAACTTGATAGAGCAACAACGGACTGTTTCTTTGATGACCAAGAAAAGGCTGCTGATCCAATGCTGAACATGTAGCCGGATGTACTCTTTCTTTTATCCAAGTCTCCCCCATAGTCATTGTTGGTGTAACCAACTAGTCTTTGATATACACTTTGTGAGTAAAACAATCCTTCATTAATGCTTCCTTGAACATACATGAGAATCCTCTTGGCCACCTTGAAGTGTTCTTGCCTTGGCTCCTCCACGATTCTGCTCACCAGTCCAACCGCAAATATTTTGTCGGGTCTTGTGATGGTCAGGTACCGTAGGCTTCCGACTAAGCTCTTATACAAAGTTGGATCAATAAAGATTTCTGGTGAGTCTCTCCTCAGCTCACTCTGACTTTGACAGGAGTTGCAATTGGTTTGCAGTTGCTCATGTTGAACTTCCAAAGGATCTCCTTTGCGTACTTTTTCTGAGAGATGAAGATTCCTCTCTTAGATTGCGATACTTTTACTCCAAGAAAATATGACATTTTTCCAATGTCAGTCATCTTGAACTCCTTGATCATGTTCTTCTTGAACTCCTCGAACATTTTTGGATTGTTGCTGGTGAAGATCATGTCATCCATGTAGAGACATATGATCATAATGTCTCCATCCTTCTTCTTGGTATAAAGAGAGTGCTCATACGGACTCTGCTGGAATTCGTTCTTCTGGAAGTATGCATCGATTTTGGCAATCCACGCCCTGGGTGCTTGCTTCAATCCATACGATGTCTTCTTCAGCTTATAGACTTTATCTTCTTGGTTCTTCACCTCGTACCCGGATGGCTACCTGATATAGACTTCTTATTCTAGGTAGCCATTCAGGAATGTAGACTTCACGTCCATCTGGTAGATCTTTCATCGATTCTGTGCTGCCAATGCGATAATGAGTTGGATGGAGTCGATCCTCGCGACTGCTGCGAACACTTCTTTATAGTCAACTCCTTCTCACTGACTATAGCTCTTTGTAACAAGCCCGGGCTTGTACTTCTCGATTCTGTCATCTTGATTTGTCTTTGTCTTGTACACTCACTTTACTCCAATGAGTTTATGGCCTTTAGGCAAGGTGGTGAGCTTCCATGTGTCATTTCTATCTATCAATTTTTGTTGTGCCTTAACGGTAACACTCATCTTAAATAAATCTTAAATCATTAATCTAATTGACATAAAAATATATCTAAACCAGCAAAAAAGATAGTGTTGACTTACCGACAGATTGTAGGGTCATATATGCGATTACAATCAACAAAATTAATATTATGCGTGTAGATATGCAACAATCAAAATCATCCAATATATCGGAAGGTAAGCATGTGAAGATGATAGAGAAGAGAGTATAAAGAGAGAAATTTCACGCACACAATAAAGGGATTCATTCATTACTTAAATAGATAACAACAGTAATAGTTCAGTCCACTAATAACCACTCAGTAGATTTTGTGGAACATCCAACAACCCACAACTCAACAAACTCCTACAAACTACGAACTACCCGATAGCCTAGGTTCAACTCAGCTACGCATAACAAATAACAAAGCAATTAGTTAATAAATATCTTAACACCCCTTTCAGTCTCCTGAGCATGTCTTCCCTTGAACATCATGCAACGAACACATTCCAAGCAAACTTCTGAGATCCACGAACAACGGTTGCTTGAGAGGTTTAGCCATAATATCAACAACTTGAACCTCACTCCTGCAATATTTTAATTTAATCACACCCTCTTGACATAAATCACATAGGAAATGATACCGAACATCAATGTGTTTGCTCCTTTAGTGTAAAACTGGATTCCTTGAAAGCTTGATGGCAGAGACATTATCACAATAGATTGTTGTAGCATCTTGCAGGTGATAGCCAAGGGTATCCAACATTCTTCTAAGCCAAATTGCCCGGCAAGAACATGAAGCAGCTGCAACGAACTCAGCTTCTGCAGTGGATAATGTCACAATTTGCTGCTTCTTTGAGGACCATGAAATAGCACCTGAACTCATTAAAAACACATCCCCAGAGGTGCTTTTACTATCATTTAAATCACCTGCATAATCACTGTCAGTATATCCGAATAAACCTGATGTTGCACTTTTCTTGTAAAATATCCCAAAATCAACGGTGCCTTTCAAGTATCGAAAGATTCTCTTTGCTGCTTTGAGATGCATCTCAGTTGGAGCTTCCATATATCTGCTAATTAAGCTCCCAGGGTACATTATATCAGGTCGTGTGGAGGTTAAGTACATCAAGCTTCCAACCATTTTCTTGAAAAGAGTGATGTCAACTATCTTTCCATCAGGATCAGTACTTAACTTTAATCCAGCTTCAACTAGTGTTCCAACATGATTATAATTCATCATATGAAATCGTTCCTGTTGGCCTTCTTATTTTGATGATGATTTACAAACAATTTACTTCTAATGTTGTTTGTCTAGTGTTTGTGTTTTTGTATCAATTGTAGATAAACAACATGTTGGAGGATGGATGGAATTACGCTTCAATGATCATATCCAATAGAGGTTAGCGGTATAGTGGTTGAAGCCTATACAATTTAAGTTAAAGATCCAATTACAAGCTTCATCCAAGTTTACCAAGTTGAGCTACAATGAAGATCAAGATCAAGCTTGTGTAACATTAGTTTAGGTTTATATTATGTGTGTTGATACTTTAAGCCCAATCATATATACTTTATATGAATATGAATTTACATCTTTCATATTTATTATTTTGGTTTTTCATGTTTAAATATGAAACAATTGAATATAATTGGAAAATACATTTTTGTTTCATGTTTATATGCTTACATATGATTTTATCAATATTAATTTTATTTAGTTCAATGAAAGCATGTTTGTTGTTCTGAAAGTTTGCAAAACAAGTATTTTTGTGAAAATGTTGTTTTCTTGGTATATGGACTTAACAACAATGATATACATCTTCTATTAAGTCTATATATTCATTTTGTAATGTTTCAAAATATGATCAAGCTAAAATGTTAAAATTCATGTGTTTACATTTTCATGTTTTGGACTATTTTACAAAATGATGATATTTTACATTTGGGAGGTTCTTTTAGAAAACTAGTTTTTGTAGCATGTGTATTATCATACCTATAATCATTTCCCAAAGTTTTACATTTTTCTGAATTTATTTGATATTTTTAAACCCATTTTAAAGTTGAGTTTTTTCTGTGCGCTTCAGGTCTGTGCATGTCTAGTCGACTCATAAGTCGACTCACGAAGTACAACGCAATTATGATTTTTTTTCTGCTGAGTCGACTCATATAAGGCGACTCATTAGTCGACTCATAAGTCGACTTATCAGAGAGCCGTTGCACAGTAACTACTAGTTTTCTGATTTGTTTGTTTATGGGTTTTTGGTCTTTTCCTTGGGGTTTTTGCTAAAGTTTTGAGTGGGTATAAATACCCCATTACCTTCATCTCTTCATCAATCCAAGAGAATGTTTTAACAATGGTTTAAGCTTTGTTTAGTGTTTGTTTAAAAAGCTTTTAAACGTTTAAGAGTTTTGTTTGTGAAGAGAATTTCGCAAGAGCAAGTGGAGATCATCCTTGGTGTTTGAGCATTCACTCTTCTCCCTCTCTCTTGTTATATATAGAGAAGTTTCCCTAAACTCAATCTAGCTTTACATTTATATTGTTTAATTACCATTTTATTAAGCTAGTGTTTATATTGAGTTTAGTTGATTTTATTTACTCTTTGTTTACACACACAACCATTGAGCTTATTGTATTTGTATACATTATATAATTTGGGTTGTGAAGTTTGTGTGACATTGAGTGTGAGCCTACATTGTGTTCTCATCCATTGTAGAGAACAAATTTATATTTGTGTGCTTATCATGAGATCACTTGTAATACACTTGTACACCAAGAGGAGTGTGTGGTGAGGACGGAGTCGATCCGAGAGGAGTGGCGTCGGTGGCCTAGTAAGAGGTGATAATTCCGAGCACTTGAGGGAGTCGATACGTGAGGACCAACACTTGAGGTTGTAGCTTGTGTATGTACTTTGTGAGGATTTGTGAGAGTTGTCGGTTGACTTGATAACCGAGTGTGTAGAGTTTTCGGTTAGCTAAAAAATCGAGTGTGTAGAGAAGTTTTGGCTTTCAAACCGGGTTGTGTAGTGGATTCTCCCCGGGAGTGGGGAGCGGAGACGTAGGACGGAAGGTCCGAACTCCGTGATTATTTCCTTGTGTTTAGGTTTGGCATTGGCGCATTTATTCTTGCATATTGTTATATCGCCATTGTTGCATGATCATATTGTTTACCCTTGTTTATATTGTATATCCTTGTACATATCTTGTAGCATATCATACTTGCTAGGATATATTTGTTAATTAGTTTTTATTGGCATTTAAATCGGATTAGATTAGCATAAACCCTATTCACCCCCCCCCCCCTCCCTCTCTAGGGTTCTTTCCTAGTGGTATTAGGGTCTAACAATTAGTATCAGAGCTTGGTGCTCTTTGATTTAAGGTCTAATCGTATTGAGTTAAAGATCCAAGTTATCTTTTTGCGCTAATCTTATTTTGATTTTATTTGTATCTTGCTTGCACATATATATATTATGGATATGCACGGTGCACCTTGTTTAGGTTATGCCATCAATATTGCTCCTAGATTAGATAATTTCCCCTATACCCAATGGTGTGTTAGATTTAAACTTTTTGTTCGATCTAGACACTTCGATTTATAAAAAATTATAGATGATGCTTATATTGTGCCCACTTTGGAGAAATCCAAGTGGAATAAAAATATCATCGTATGTTTACCATGAATAAGCTTTTGTTAGAATTTTTACATAATGCGTTCGATTTATCTATGTCTAACAAGCTTGATTCTTTTGATAGTGCTTACACATTATGGAAACTTATAGAAGCACATCAAGGGAATTTGGAGGCGATCCGACAAGCTTTGGAGGATTCCGCTTCTAGTTCATGTGGAGCTTCATTTTCATGCACACGGCCACTAGGCGATAGCCCTAGTGTGGTAAGCGAGTCCGAATCCGAATATGAATTATCTTTTGATGAACTCGCCTGTGCTAGTAAAAAATTATTACATGCCTATAACAAATTACATAAAAATTTTATTGATTTACAAAGCAAGCATGAAGGTTTAAAATCCGATCATGAGAAGTTAGCTTCCAAATTTGATATCATTTCTCAAGAGAATGATGCTTTTAAAGAAAATAATGATATGCTAAATTTGAAAAATAATAATTTAAAATTAGATATTGCTAACTTGACTCATGATAAAAATAATGCCATGTTAGAAGTAGAGAACATACAAAATGATATTACTTTTTTTATAAATGACTATTTATGTTCTACTTCTAATAAAAATGCATATGTGCCTAAAAATAAAGAATTGAATCTTGTGAATAAACGCATTTTATCTTTAGATTCAACTTTAAAAACATGCATTAATAATCATAAGAGGCTTATGGATATGTATGCCAAGTCTAAGTCATCATCCACTCATTATGCACACATATATAGCAAAGTTTACAAATGCTCTATTTACGATCGAAAAGGTCATTTATCTAAATTTTGCTATGATGCACACAAACATAAGAATGCTAATGCTCCTTGTGCATCTCATGTAGCTTCTTCATCTTGTACACTTACACATTCACATGCTCATTCTCACAAAGTTCATCATAAGCATGCTAGTGTGTTCAAGTGTGATCTTTGTGGTCGTTTTGGTTATTTGGCCGAATATTGTTTTGATTTGAAAAGAAAATCACGTTTACCAAATGTTTCTAGTAGACCACATATTTTTAAATGTGATATTTGTGGTAGATTTGTCCATTTGGCGAAGTTTTGTTATGATTTGAAAAATGTTCAAACTTGCCAAATTTTCCAAGTAAACCACCTTTGTTTGATAATGCTTCTCATTTGCAAAATAATTTTAAAAGACAATCTTTGTTTGCAAATGGTTCCCGTGCACGAGCATATTGTCCACAAAAACAAATGAGTCTCTTTCATTGCACAAATTGCAATCGAAAGGGTCATTTGAGCAATTATTGTTATGACCGGGTTAGTGCACCAAATGTGCCCAAAAATGTTCATAACCCTAGGGCTTTGAGCTTTATTAATAGGGGTCATGTCCCTAACCAAGCCGGCACCAAGAATGCTCGAGTGCCAAAATCTTTTTTAAAAAAAACCAAGAATTAATTTTTTATTTTTCTTGGTTTTGAAAATTATGTTTTAAATTTTTTTTATATGAAAACAATTTTCCTTTGATCAATTATTTTGTTTTCATGATTATTAGTTTCGATTTTTTTTGAGAGATTTGTATTTATATACCCCCCCCCTCCCCGAGTTTATTGGGTTTTTATTTCCCAAATCATGTTTACCGGATGCTGAAATGATTATATAATTTGGAACAAGCTCAAGAGCTTGATATTGTTGCCTCTCTTAAAAATTGTGTTTTTGCTTGTTGCTTTGAATTCATTATATTTCACTTATATGATGATATTTATATGTTTGTGCTCATGGATCATCTATTCGTGCCTTATAATGTATTCTATGAGTGGTTTGATCAAGTTATACAAAGAAAATTTTCTTCTTTGATCAAACATTATTTTTGGACTCAAATCTTGATTTATGACTTCATTTGAGTGATTTGTTTTCACTTGAAAACTTTTTTCATGGTTCTCATGTTTTCCTCATTTCTTTGTTTTCATAAATCTATTTTTATACACTATGTTTTTATAATTGTGTAATGAGACACTTCTTTCATAAATAACATATTAATAGGTGTTCTCATTGTCATGTTTGTATGTGAGTTATGTTTAGCATATCTTTTATTTATGCTTACTCACATGTTTTTGCCTTAGCTTTCTTTTCATATATTCTCTATGGCATTTTGATAGGAGGAGCTATTCCCTATACTTGTTTTATACTCACTCATGCATATTGATAGGGAGAGCTTTCGCTCTCTTCATTCTTGTTGTTTTTCCCTTTTTGATGTTGTCAAAGGGGGAGAAATATTGTGAGTATAGCCTTTCATTATTTATATGCATGTGAATTATAATTTATATGTTCATTTTTCTTCATGTATATATTCTTTTTGTAAATTGTTTGTCATCATCAAAAAGGAAGAGATTGTTGGCCTTCTTATTTTGATGATGATTTACAAATAATTTACTTCTAATATTGTTTGTCTAGTGTTTGTGTTTTTGTATCAATTGTAGACAAATAACATGTTGGAGGATGGATGGAGTTGCACTTCAATGATCATATCCAATGGAGGTTGGTAGTATAGTGGTTGAAGGCTATACAATTCGAGTTAAAGATCCAATTACAAGCTTCATCCAAGTTTACCAAGTTGAGCTACAATGAAGATCAAGATCAAGCTTGGGTAACATTAGTTTAGGTTTATATTATGTGTGTTGGTACTTTAAGCTCAATCATATATACACGCACATTATATTGGTTTCCTTGTATATATATATATATATATATACACTACAAGAAATCTGGTATTTAACGACCAAAATTAGTAAAGGGGTCTGTCGACCGTCATTAATGTGTATATAATAACGACGGTTTTAAAGCCCTTCATCGAGTTATCACAATTAGTAGAGTAATGATGTGAGATGAGATAACGGTTTTCTAGTCCCTTCGTTGATTTGATCCTAATATCGTCGTTATTGAATCTCCATAAAGACGAAGGGGTCCATTATCTTCATTAATATACTCTTAATCATAATAGGACTGAAAAGTTAACCTATTACTATTAACAAAACCCACACACCATTAAAATCCCTGAAGCCCCATCTAGAACCTGAAATCCAAAATCCCCCTCCTAATCATCCCCCCAATCGCAGTGAAACCCTAGTTTAAAAAAATCACCTTTCTCCAGATCTTTGCCTTTCCATCTCGTCGGCTCCCACTAGTTGTCGTCGGCTGATCTAGTTCGTCGTCGAGACTCGTCGTCAGCTCCAGTTCGTCGTCGAGACTCGACGTCGTCTCCATCTCGTCGTCGACTCCAGTTCGTCGTCGAGACTCGTCGTCGTCACCGCCACAGCCCCAACGCCGTCATCATCCCCTCCTTTTCGTTGCTCGGAGATCGTCGCCGCCGCTGCTCAAAGATGGCCGATACAGAAGGTTGTCGGCGTTACTGGAGGTCGACAGGTCAGATTCTTATGAAAACATCCAATAGGACTTTTACTCGATTTATGAAATGTTTGATTGCAGGCCATATAGGGTATGCTAAATCTTAGAACTAGTGTGGTACTGATTTTTAATGCATTTTTTTAAATTTATTCTGTATTGTTGCTTATAGTCTGATTCCAGTTTTTATGTGCATAATTATTCTGATGAAAGCCAAATAGACTCAGTTATTTATTTGAGTTGTTGTTCATGTCTCTGCAGTTAGACAAGGCTGAGGAATGCTTATCACAAGCAATGGATCTGAGTGGTTTGTTACTTATTTATTCTGCTCTCGGTGATGCCGAAGGAATTGCTAAACTTACATCTCTTGCTAAAGAACAAGGGAAGAACAATGTGGCCTTCCTTTGTTTATTTTTGTTAGGAAAATTCGATGACTGCCTTCAATTGTTGGTTGATAGGTACATTTTTTAATAGTCAAACATTTTAGTCTAAGTGTATAATCTCGATTCATGCCACTTCAAGTGTCACTGGTAACATTTTTGCCCTTTGTAGCAACCGTATTCCAGAAGCTGCCTTGATGGCGTGTTCTTATCTTCCAAGCAAAGTCTCAGAGATCGTTGCAATTTGGAAGAAAGATCTCATTAAGGTTCACCCATGTTATCTCTTAACTTCATTTATAATAGCATTTTAAACGCATTTAAACATAAGGGAAGATGAAAGATCATTTTTGTTGCTTCTTAGTGGTCAGAATCTGCTTTAGTTTATAGGTTTTTCTTTTTATTCAATTAGCTTTTATAACTTACTCTTGATTTTTTCTTATATTGGTTTTGTGCAAAGGTCAATCCAAAGGCTGCAGAGTCCTTGGCTGATCCTGAAGAGTACTCAAACTTATTTGAGGACTGGCAGGTTGCTCTTGCTGTAGAGTCTAATACCACCCAAAACAGGTGCTCATTACAAGTTCTTCATCTTCCCTCATAATTTTTTTCTAATGTTGTTTCTCATATGTTGATAGCTTTCAACTTAAAATTTTCATTTTTTTCTCAGTCAATTTAAAGTTGGAGCATTTATGGGAAACTACTTAAATGTTATAGCTTATGAGCATCAATTGTTATTGTGAAGTTTTTTAGTTACTACTGCTTGTTTTTTAGCACCATATTGCTAATTGATGTCACTCATTAGCTATTTGTGCAGCGTACATGGTTATACCATTTGTGTTTATAAGCAATATCATTTGAGCAGTACTAAAACATGCCATTTTTAGTGGATGTAGTGTAAGGAACTTATATTAATCTAAGTTCCCTGCTATTCCCTCCTTTGTTTCAATAAAATGTTGGAGCGCTACTCCACAAATTATTAGAAACCTGAAAATTGATTTGCTGAAAGTCTTTTGGTTAGTTGAGAACTTGAGATAGTTAATCACTTAATTGGAGCTGGTGAGAATGCCTATGAATTACATTTAATGTTTGTCTAGAACGTGGAATATTGTTTGTACCAAAATCTCGTTTTCTTTTGCCTTTTTATTTATTATTGTTTGCTCTTTGCCTTCTTCTTCTATGACCAAAAAGTTAAATTGCCTCAGTAAGTCACAATAGCAGATTTGAAACTTGTCCCTTGGATCCATGAGCTTCAGCTTCTTAGCATCCTTTTAATTACTAAATAATGCACAAGTTGTTATGAAGCTCATCTGGTCCTTTCTTCCCCCTTAATTGTTATTTGATTGTTTGTTTGCATATTATGACTGGAGCGTGTTTATTAGGATGGAGTGCAACGGAGTACATTCTTTTTGTTACAAATAAATGTGTATTTTCCCTGCCTGCCTATATAAGGTTACAAATGATAAAATTGCATTCCTTGTATTATAAGTCAATATGTGTGTTTGGTTTATCATCAGTTCTGTGATGAGGTGCCCCTTTAGTTTAACAGCAACTCAACTCAGGTAAGATGAAAATACCCTGATATCAGATACCTTTGATGTAAAGCTGCTTATCATTTTGGCATCACTCCTAGACTTCTTTTTGTCCTGAAAGTTGCATGAAGTTATCTCCTGGAGTTTTATTATATCACTTGTGTGATAATTCCAATGAGTTGATTGTTGAATACAGTGCCTTGCTGCATTCTAAACTAGCTTTATGTTTTATTATTTTTAGTTTTGTTATGGATGTTAGTGACTATTCATTGTAATGATAATTGTTTCTGATATTGCAGTCCTTACTCCCTGAGGTTAGGGACTTTATGTGTTCACTATCAGTGTTAGAGGCAGACATATTTCTGAAGGTAACACCATTACCCCTTAATCATCTGATATATTAACTATTTATGTTAAGCCAATGGTATATATCCTTGAATTCTTCAAATATCACATTACTGAGTTTTTGTTTGTTTTAGTCACATTAATTTCCTGCACACAACAAAATATGTGTTCTACATGTGAGTTATGTAGATCATTACTTAGCAACTCGGCGATAGTTACTGCATCTTGTTATGAGTTTTCCTTCTCATCATAATAGTATGGGCAAAAGTTGAGTGACGTAGTGGTTGAGGTAGTTTTACTAGCCCGTATCAACGATGCGCTGTTAGAACTGTAAAAATCAGCACATCCTGCTAATTGATTTATGGAAATTTGCTTCTCACTTATAAATGCCGATACAAAACATGGAGGGGAGATGGATACACTGCTTAATTTTTAATAAATTGTTTGTAAATTGATGAATAAAAATTAAAATATAAACTTTATGGAGTAGTGAAAGAATTAGTGGTTGCTTATACTCAACATGCATTACTAACTATTGAAGGCTATTTAGTTTGTTGTTGCATGTCTCATTCGCACATTATGCTGCACTGAATATGCTATGGTCCTCACTTTTACTATGTGATCCTTGATATGGATTATTATCTACTTTGTAATGAAGAGTTCGATTAGTAACCTACATATGAATGCGGGAATTTATTTTTTAGGAAGAGAGGAAATGCATGTTTCATCTTCATATTCCAATTATTACAGGGAACAAAGCAGGGGTTTAGCAAACACAGATGATGATGATTTTTCGAACAATGATTATGAGCAAGAGAAATGGCCAAGGAGGAAAGGAAAGGCAGAGACATTTTCAAATTTCGGCTTTGAGGAAAAGGCACGAAGGGTTGATGCCCAGACAAAATGGAAGTATGTGCCTGAAACAGATGCTAACAGCTTGCATTCTGATGATGATCTGAATGCACTTTTAAAGGTAGGAATTAGCTTAAGTAATTAAGTTTATGCTACCTTTATTTCCAACTTCCAGTTAACACACTATGACTTTGATATTACAGGAAGAGGAAGAGCTGGTAATTGCGCACCGTAAACAAGTTGAAGATACGATAAATACTGTTAGGGAGGTAAGTGAAATTAAGTTATTATTGAAATTCTGTCTAGATGAGTATGACTTTCCAAGTTAAATCACTTCTAAAGCTAACAAGTGATCTCTGGGAGGCTGCTGTGGGAAAGAATTTAAGTTGCATTGGGTTCAGTTTATCATTTGACCCTTCTAGTTTGCTATGGGTAATAATTTGTTTGAACTTTTTGTTTGTTTCTATATTTATCAAGTATGACGATGAAATATTGGCAACACTGTTATAACTGATTACACCGATAAACAGATCTCGTTTGTTTTTTTTTTGAATGTGGGGGGGGGGCGGGGGGCCGGGCCGGGCCGGGGGCGGGGGGGGGGGGGCGGGGGGGGGGGGGGGGGGGGTTATATTCATTGAGACAATTTGGGGCCTAAGTGGCACAATTTGGGGCCTAGTGGCACCAATTATCTCAATAGGACAATTTTTACCCCAGCATACTAAAATACTATAGGGTATTTTACCTTAACCTATTTTTTAGTAATATAAAGCTCAGGTCTTATAGGGATGCTTCAAATGGCAAAAATTTGGCAAAGAGAGCACACAAGATCGCATGCAAGGGGGCTGAGTTGCAAGACAGATATCAATTGGGCTCTCCAGAGTCCATGCAAGGAATGCAGATGAAGAAGGAGCTGGTGGTGGGAAGGCAATAAAGAGTTGGATGCAATGTGTCAGGTTATAAAATCTCTTATCATAGCTTTTTATGATTTGACTACTTGCCACTTAGAGAAAAATGAGATTTTTCTAGCTTAATAGGTATATAATTTCTTTAATTGATATTTCTTAATTATGTGATTTTTTTAAAGCTTTTGCAAGGCTATCGGCCATTGGCTAAGATTAGGAGGGGGTTAGGCTGCGAGTCTTGTTTTGACCCAGATGATTAGAAGATAAAAGAAATGTGTAAATTTCCCTAAACTTTTATTTTAATTTATTTAGAGTAGTTATCATGTATTTTTTGCTTTGGAACAATTAGGATCATTAACTTCTTGTTATTAGTATTGAATATTTGAGGATGGGTGGAATTTTATTTATTGATGTTATTAATGAATGAAATTTTTAATTTTTTCCGCGTCTTATTCATTATTGGGTATTTTTAATGATATTTTTGTTGTGAATCTTTTAGTGTCAGGTTGAGAAATAATATGATAGTTGCGCTATGAATGGAAAGGTTTTATTATTCCATGATTATTAGAAATTTATATAGTCTACATGACGGTTTTATAAAAGCGCGTAATTTTGTTCATCAACGAAGGGAAAGGGCACCGTCGTTGTATGGGTTACTAATTACGCCATTATGAGGGACTTTTACCGACGGTATCTCAATCCGTCATTAATTTAGTTTTCAAGTGGCGGATGGGAAAATATCCGACGTAACTAATGTAAACGAGCGGAAAATATCCCCGGTAACTAATGGCTAACGATGGAAACGATATCCCGTCTCTGATGTAACGAGCGGAAAAATATCCCCGTCAAGCGCGATGGTAACGAACGGGTGATAATTACTGCGTCGTAAATATTAACGGACGGTAATATGTTCGGCGTCGTTATTTTGACTGCTATAATGACGGGTAGTAGCATCCGCTCCTCGTCCGACGGCACCTTTAGCCGCACAAAGAGGGCTTGCAACGACGGGTGACGAGGGGAATTGATTTCCCGCGTTCAGTTCAGCCATACATATAACTGAGCGTCTTTCCAGTTCTTTAACGGTAAGGCGAAATGCCTTCGTTAAACGAAGCCGTAATTTCTTGTAGCGATATATATATATATATATATCAATTTAATATATATGACTTATATATATCTGATATATTTATATTACTATATTAACTACTATCTATTCCATATACAAGCGCCAAGTTTATGTTATATATATATATACTACCTACTACATATACTATCCCTATATATATAGTATATATATATATATATATCATATATATATACCACGACACACACACACACACACACACACACAATTTAGCTTTGGTTTCCATGTATATATAGTTTCATATATACATACATATTTTGGTTTCCAAGTTTATATAAATATGAATTAACATCTTTCATATTTATTGTTTTGGTTTTTCATGTTTAAATATGAAACAATTGAATATAATTGGAAAATACACTTTTGTTTTATGTTTATATGCTTACATATGATTTCATCAATATTAATTTTATTTAGTTCAATGAAATCATGTTTGTTGTTTTGAAAGTTTGCAAAACAAATATTTTTGTGAAAAATATTATTTTCTTGGTATATGGACTTAACAACAATGATATACATCTTCTATTAAGTCTATATATTCATTTTCTTGGTATATGGACTTAACAACAATGATATACATCTTCTATTAAGTCTATATATTCATTTTGTAATGTTTCAAAACATGATCAAGCTAAAATGTCAAAACTCATGTGTTTACATTTTTATGTTTTGGACTATTTTACAAAATGATGATATTTTAAATTTGGGAGGTCCTTTTAGAAAACTAGTTTTTGTAGCATGTGTATTATCATACCTACAATCATTTCCCAAAACTTTACATTTTTCTGAATTTATTTGATATTTTTAAACCCAGTTTAAAGTTGAGTTTTTTCTGTGCGCTTCAGGTTTGTGCATGTCTAGTCGACTCATTAGTCGACTCATAAGTCGACTCACGAAGTGCAGCACAGTTGTGATTTTTCTTCTGCTGAGTCGACTCATATAAGACGACTCATTAGTCGACTCATAAGTCGACTCATAAGTCGACTTATCAGAGAGTCGTTGCACAGTAACAACTAGTTTTCTGATTTGTTTGTTTATGGGTTTTTGGTCTTTTCCTTGGGGTTTTTGCTGAAATTTTGAGTGGGTATAAATACCCCATTGCCTTCAGCTCTTCATCAATCCAAGAGAATGTTTTAACAAAGTTTTAACAAGGGTTTAAGTTTTGTTTAGTGTTTGTTTAAAAGTTTTAACAAGGGTTTAAGTTTTGTTTAGTGTTTGTTTAAAAAGCTTTTAAGCGTTTAAGAGTTTTGTTTGTGAAGAGAATTTCACAAGAGCAAGTGGAGATCATCCTTGGTGTTTGAGCATTCACTCTTCTCCCTCTCTAAGCTAGTGTTTATATTGAGTTTAGTTGATTTTGTTTGCTCTTTGTTTATACACAAAACCATTGAGCTTATTGTATTTGCATACATTGTATAATTTAGGTTGTGGGGTTTGTGTGACATTGAGTGTGAGCCTACATTGTGTTCTCATCTATTGTAGAGAATAAATTTATATTTGTGTGCTTATCGTGAGATCACTTGTAATACACTTGTACACCAAGAGGAGTGTGTGGTGAGGACGGAGTCGATCCGAGAGGAATGACGTCGGTGGCCTAGTGAGAGATGATAATTCCGAGTACTTGAGGGAGTCGATACATGAGGACCAACACTTGAGGTTGTAGCTTGTGTATGTACTTTGTGAGGATTTGTGAGAGTTGTCGGTTGACTTGATAACCGAGTGTGTAGAGTTTTCGGTTAGCTAGAAAATCAAGTGTGTAGAGAAGTTCCGGCTTCCAAACCGGGTTGTGTAGTGCATTCTTCCCGGGAGTGGGGAGCGGAGACGTAGGACGGAAGGTCCGAACTCCGTGATCATTTCCTTGTGTTTGGGTTTGGCATTGGCGCATTTATTCTTGTATATTGTTATATCGCCATTGTTGCATGATCATATTGTTTACCCTTGTTTATATTGTATATCCTTGCACATATCTTGTAGCATATCATACTTGCTAGGATATATTTGTTAATTAGTTTTTTTGGTATTTAAATCAGATTAGATTAGCATAAACCCTATTCACCCCCCCTAGGGTTCTTTTCTAGTGGCATTAGGGTCTAATAGTTCCAGCACATCCTGAACATATTTCTTCTGACAAATAAAATTACCAGCTATAAATTGTACTACTTCTATGCTAAGATAGTAGTGCATCAGCCCCAAATTACTCATATCATTTTCCTTCATCATAGATTGTTTAAAATCATCAAACATTCGAACATCACTACCAGTGTAGATCAGATCATCAACATATAGACATATAACCAGTATTTTTCCATCATTGCCAGGCTTAACATACAACGTATGTTCATATGGGCATCTCCGAAAACATTGTTTGATCATATATGCATTTATGCGGCTATACTATGGGCTGTCCATCCGGCCCGGCCCTGCCCAGAAAACTGGGCTCGGGCTGGGCAAAACCAAATCTTTGACCTGGGCCCGGTTGGCTCGGGCCGGGTCTGGGCCTGAGTGGGTCGGGCTCCGGGCCGGCTCGGTTTTCTTTGTGTTTAATTTTTTTTTTACTTTTTTTTAAAATTTTAAGAAAACAAAGCCAAAAACAAACACAATTTTAATAAAAAATTTATATTATTAATCATTTGTAATTATGTAATTTAAAAATATAAAAAATTATAGAAATTAAAATGATAAAATGATATAAAATAATTGTAGATTTTATAGAAACAAACAAAATTAAAAATAATTATAGAATTCAAAGAGGCCCAAGGCCCAATCAAAGATCTCTAAATATATATGTTGTGACTAGGATTTGAACCGCTAATCTTTTTTTCAAGCTCCTAAATTTTACCACTAGACTAAGTAGCCCAAAGTATTCATGTCATTCATATATTGTACATAAAAAAATTGTAAATACATATAGAAATTACATAAACAAATTGTATTATACATAAATATATATAAA